TTAATGTTGACCTATGAACCAGGAGGTTGAGGTTTGATTCCCAGTGGAGGTGTGCAGGGGGCAGCTGATCAATGATTCTCTCTCATTGTTGATGTTTCTATCTTTCCCTTTTGAAATCAATTATATATATAATACATGTGTGTGATTCCATTTATATAAAACTCAAAAGTGAAAATTGATTATAGACAAAAAGGAGATTAGTGGTTGTCTGGGAATGGAGATGTAGAGAAGGTTTGATCACAGAAGAGCACAGGAATACTTTTGGTGGAGAAAGAAACTTTTTGTTGTTGATTGTGGGGATGATTTCATAGGTGAACTGATGTAAGAACTTGAAAATGTATATTTTAAATGTGTTCAGTTTATTGTAGAGCAATTTTATATGTTATAAAATTGTAAAAGTAAATAGAAAATGAGGAAATTGGACTTCACTTGGGGAATCCATATGTCTTGTTAGGGACCCATGTATGTAAGAATTTGTTTGTGTAGGTTATGATGATTTTTAAAATTTATAGTAGTGAGGATGTTTAATTTATTGGCAATTTTTAAAAACCACTAACTTGATCCATACAGAAGTGTACATTACAAACCTAATACTAGTTACTGGTCAGTGTTCCTCCAATGAATGTGAGTATTGGTGTTAAGCAGACTAAACTGTTCTCAGAACCTGTGGACTATGGTGAAAGAGTCCTGGTTTCTGAAAACTGGGAAAGTCTAGGCCCACATGTTGCCTAGAATTTGGATATCTAGCCTAACATTCTAGAGCAGTTCTGGGAGTTGTGTTTCTAATTTTCTAGAAAGTACTAGTGATTTTTAAAAAGTCAAATTTAGTATACCTACAGAAAATTCTACATCTCATAAACTACATTTTGCTGCAGTTTTACACAATGAAATACATCCACGTGAAAATTAAGAAACAATACAACCTGGTATCGGTAATTTTTCTAAACACAATTCTTTCTGGGCTGATTAGGTAAAGTTGAACACATTCTGAATGACCATGTCTAGATAATTTCCAGTTTTAAAGTTTCTGACACTGGGATTGTATACTATACAAAAATTGTTCTGGCCCTGGCTGGTGTGGCTTAGTTGGATGGGTATCGTCCCATGCACCAAAAGGTTGCACATACCCAGGTTGCAGATTCCTCTAGGTCTGGGCGTGTACAGAAGGCAACTGAGCGATGTTTCCCTCTCACAATGATGTTTCTTTTTCTCTCTCCTCTCTCAAATAAATGATCATCAGGTGAGGATTTAAAAATTTGTTCTGTTTACTTTTATTTGTATAAATATAGCTTATGTTTTGTTCCATCAAGTTATTTCTTTTTGGCAGTGGACTCGAAAAATTGATCAAGTGGGAAAAATCTCAAAGGAAACTTTAGAGACACGGAAGAGCCTGGGCTTTTCAGCATACAAGTCTCAGAAAAATAAAGTAAGTAACGGAAACCACCCCCTTGCTGGTTGGCTCTTAAGAAAATGTTCTATATTTGTTCAAAAAAGGTTACGTTTGGGAAGGGTGGCCTTTACGTGCAGAATGTCTGAAATTGAGCTGGAAAACGGCTGGAATTAATAAAAACATCTATGGTTGGCTAAATCCGGGGTGGCTGTTTGGTGAGTGTGTGTAGATTGGCTGGCTAAAGAGCTGTTGGGCAGCAAGAGCTGTGGAGTTCTGGCTGCTTCCTTTTGAAATGGATCAAGGACTAGGGCAGGAGCTGGTCTCCCTGGGCTTCTGTGGGTGGTGGAGGGGGGTGTTCAAAACCAAACTGGCTGACTTCAGTCTCATCTCCACTGTATGGCCCTTTGGTCTCTCAGGAACAGGAATTATCCTTGGAGCCACTCCCACTTCATGTTGGAGGGATAACCATGTGGTGAGCGCTCAGGCGCTGGGTTCCACTGGGTGTGGCCTCTCATCCTGGGCAAAGGAATAAGAAATGTGGCTGTGGGTCACAAGGTGCATCTAGGTGAGGGATTTGACCAGGGGGAACCTCTAAGCAGAGCCCTTTCTCCTCTAAATTGAGCATTGTAGTGATGTTTTTGCCCCCAAGTAAAATACCTTGCCTTTCTCCTCAGGGTCCCAAGGTGGTTCTGCCTTATCGGATTTGGCTGATCACTACAGCTCGTCTTTCTTTTGCCTATTCCAGAGGTGGTCATCCAAGTACAGTGGGATTAAGGGACAGGCCAGAAGTGTGTGGGGGAGAGGGACAGAAAATGTCTCAGAGAGACAGAACACAGCCATGCCCACACATGTGCATGCACGCCCACACACTGGTGTTATTCTCAGTCCCTTCGGGCGTAAAAGTGTGGCCCTAGGCCAGCCGTGGGCAAACTATGGCCCTCGGGCCAGATCCGGCCCGTTTGAAATGAATAAAACTAAAAAAAAAAAAGACCGTACCCTTTTATGTAATGATGTTTACTTTGAATTTATATTAGTTCACACAAACACTCCATCCATGCTTTTGTTCCGGCCCTCCGGTCCAGTTTAAGAACCCATTGTGGCCCTCGAGTCAAAAAGTTTGCCCACCCCTGGCCTAGGCTGTCAGCCTTGATCCTGCATCCACCTCTCTGAGTCCTGTTCCTGAGTCTTTGCCAGCTAAGGCTGCATACAGCTTTGACCAACTATGGAGCAGAAGTTTAGGAGAAGTTTAGGGGAGGTTTAGGGCTGCACACATTTCATGGCTGTGAGCTGGTCATTTGTAGGTTTTTAATATTTGGGGCATTTTCCCAGTCAGATTGTAAATTAGATTTTACATGGCAAGTCACAGAAGCCACGAGCTTGTCTTGTCTGACTTCCTGCCTGGTTTACCTAAGAGACAAAAGTTAGCCCTGCCCCGACCCCCCACCTGACCCTGGGCATCCACAAGTGGGAGGCCCTTAATGTCTGTAGAGTAAGTTCCCACTGTACCCAGACTGGAGCTGGGACTGGAGCTGAGGCAAAATGTGAAAATGTAGGACAAACTATGTGATGCCTAATTTCCTTGATTCAGAGGCATAAGTTAACCAGGTTAAATCTTAGTTCATAGGCATAAGTTAACCGGGTTAAATCTTAGTTCATATTTAAGTTTATTGCTTTGTTTTAACTGTTAAATGGTGTATCTTGTCATCGTCTGAAATACCTTCCACCACATTTCCAAATGCATAAAAAAAATTACCCCATTTATGCAGAAGACATAAATTAATCCATGATGTTGCTGCCCCTTGTGGTGGAACGCACAACAGAGACCTCTGCAGGGAGAAGTTACACATCCTGTTTCATATATATATATATATATATATATATATATATATATATATAGATATATATATATATTTCAGAGAGGAAGGGAGAGGGGGAGAGAGATAGAAACATCAATGATGAGAGAGAATCATTGATCGGCTGCCTCCTGCATGCCCCACGATGCGATCAAGCCCGAAACCCGGGCAAGTGCCCTTGACTGGAATCAAACCTGGGACCCTTCAGTCCACAGGCTGACACTCTATCCACTGAGCCAAACCGGCTAGGGCATGCACATACTGTTTCTTAACAAAAATCTGCAGCCTCTGAGTGAAGGGGAGAGACTGAGCTCTTCCCAGACATCTGAGACCTGTCACAGTGATGGGGGAATGATCTGCCATAACACATGGGCAACATCAAATATCAGAATAGAAAGCAGGCTGGGCTAGAGCCAGAGTGTTGGTTGGTCTGTCATCCACTGAAAAACGTAAGTGCTTAGAGTAAACAAAGACCAGGAGAAAGCCACTAGACATAGCCAGGTTAGTAGTAAGACATATTTTTCTTTCAAAATCGTTTTAAAATCATTTCTTAATTGATGAAAAGTACTTAATCCCCCCCGCCCCCCATCAATTTCTGTGTGAAATCGGGATACGTCCTTTACATCTGCATGTCTTATATGCCAGCATGTAATGGGTGTGCATGCATGCACCTATGTTGGTGTGAGATGGCCCAACTTTCCATCACCTATTCTTGTTTTATGTCCTACTTTCTGGTATTAAAACGCTCTCTCGTTCATTCTCCACCCTGTAGATGGTGCCACCACTAGCATGTAAAATACATAACTGAATATTTTAAGACTGAGCAAATGCAGGTTGTCTGTGTGATAGGTAAAGCATTTTGTACGGGACTTGGCATTCAAAGCAAGAAACAAATATAAGGTCGTTTTAAATAAGGACCAAAACGCTCACGAGAAGATTATGAGTTCCGGCTGTGATTGGGTCATCTGGGAGGAGCAGTTGAAAACCAGGGCTTTGTCCCAGTCTAGTGTGACGTTTCTTGATCACTGAGATAAGGCATCTTCAGCGAGCCGCCCGCGCTGGGCTTTGGTGGAGTCGCCTCCATGTAGCATTAGCAGCAGTCATTTGGGGACCCAAGTAGGCGGGTCTAAATGCCAGAACAAGATCCAGGGTCCGCTTTGGTACATAGGGCGCGGGGACTCGGTAACATGGGCTCGTGCTGTGTCTGACACTGGATTACCTTCCAGGTGGAAAAGAAAAAAAAAGAAAAAGAAGAAAAAAACGGTGCAGCTGGAGAGAAAGAAGAGACCTCACTTCTTGCGCCTTTGAACACTCCAGGGAGGAGGGTGTGGGTGGGGTGGAGACGCAGCATTTCGCTCCCTTTGACAGGGGGACCCGAACTGCTTACCAACGCCTTTCCCTCTCCAGAGATTTTCGATTCTTCGAACCAGAGCAAGTTAGATGAGCGCGAACGTCCAGTCAGCCTGGAGGCCTCTGGCAGAGGAAACAGGAAAGATTCCTGCAGGAGGAGGGAGGGACAAGGAGCGCGGGTGGTGGATGAGCGAAGGAACAAACAGAACCGACCACCTCCATTGGCTGCCTCGCCTCCGAGCCTGGGGACTGCTCGGTTCCCAGCACGGAGGAGGGGCAGGGCGGGTCCAGGGCGGGCTCTCCACCAACCAGCGATGTAGGACCCGTGCGCCCCGGGGAGACCTGCTGCCTGCTAGGCAACGGGAAACTTCTCCGGGGACGCCGCCTTTCTACTCCCAGCCCTGGATTTGCTGTCTCTGGAGACCCGAGGCGGAGGAGGCGGCTGCTCTAGTCTGACTTGGTGAGTCTTGAGGAATCAAACTGTGGGGCTGGGCTCTGACTTCTAGACCAAAGACCGCATGGCTTTCGGAGCACACGAGGAAAAACTCCCACGGGCAGAGGAAGTCAAGGGAAAGGCGTTGTAGCGATTGCGTTAGAGGGGGTGGGAAGTGAGGAATAGAGATTTCAGAGTGGTCAGATCTAGACCTGTGCTCTTCGCCACGTGGCGGGTCTGAACGGAGGTGTGCTCTACGTGTGAAATGCGCACCGGCTTTCCAAGACAGTCACAACAAGTAAGATCTCACACTGAAACGTTTGATATTGATTATGTGTTGAAATGATACGATTTTGGATATGTTCAATAAAGCACATTATTAAAATCAGCGTCACCGGTTCCCTATGTTGTGTTTTTGAATGTGGTTACTTGAAAAAATTAAAACTGCAGAGGAGACTTGCAATTTTCAAGAGCCCACTTGCTTTGTTTTACAACATGCAGACTGTCTTCACAAAGGGCTGGCCAATATCGTTGGAAACAAAAGAGGTGAGTGAGAGAAATGGGCACCTGTTTTCCTGCCTTCCTCTGCCAGGCTCTGGTTGGGACTCCACCTCTGAGCTGCCATGCCCAAAAGGGGGAAGTCCAAGGTTAAAAATAAAGCCAGTGTAGAACAAGTGGGGAGGGAGATAGAAGAAAAGCTGAGGAGGGGCTGTATTACAACTAGAGTTTTGTAGACAACCGTCCCCTTCCATTGCAATCGCAACCCTGGCCCGGAAAGTGAGAGGTGGCGGGTCCAACGGACAGGGAGAGTGTCTAGGACCCAGACAGCCTCCCACTCTAATGGGTCCCAGTTCAAGGCCACAAGGTAGGAAGAGTAGCGTAGGAACTCATTTCCAAACCATCTCCCGTGGGAATTCCTTCCGTGAAGTGGGACAGTATCCAAGCTTCAGGCAACAGAGTGAGGCCCCCGAGGCTCAGTTCCCAAGTCACGCTGTCATTTGGAAGTTCCAGCCCAGAGATGATGATGTCAGGGCTCTCCAGATTTGGGAGGCTCCCCTAACCGCCAAGCCTCTGGGACCGGGTCCTTGTACTTCCGGCAGTGAAAGAAGTCAGGGACATGGGTGTTCTTCATCTTAGCACAGGAGAGGTGGATCCACGTTCCACCGAGGCCGCATTCAATCACAGGCTGCCCCGAAATGGGATTTCGGCAGTAACACGTGATCAGGTCCCTTGAGTCATCACCTGATGGTACCATGATGTCCTCATCCATGATCCGCATCTCGCTTTCACTGGAGTTGGCAACTCAGTTCTTGGCTTGCTTCAGTGCTGCCCACCTCCTTGCTTTTTGCATCAGATTTTGATTGGCCAGCTGCAGATCTAGACTAAAAGCCAGTCCAGCTGACTCCTGGTTGAAGACCTCATGTGCCAGACTACCATTGTGGAGAGAAGTATCTCACTCCATTGGGTGGGTTGGGAGTGTGAGTGGTAATGAGAATGCAATTCCACTACACAAGTCTCGCAGTTCTAGTGTTCTAGGACCTGGCTATTCAATGTGTTTGAATCAGAACCTTCACTTTAACAAGCTTCTTAAGAGACTCTCATGTACATAAAAGTTCCAGAAGCACTGTTTTAGAATATAGCCCTCAATTCTCTTCTTCCTTTGTTTGGTTTCTTCACGAGTATCTAGGCTGTAGTTCTCAGATTGCTTGTATTAGAATTACCAGCATTTTGGACAAGCTTCCCAGGAGATATTTTGTTTACTCAAGTGCGAGAAACAATGATCTCAATACTTCAGTGCTAATTGCATTTCTCTTCATCCTTCCCATCTAGCCCAGTGTGGCCCCCAAATTAGTGGCATCAGCAGCAGCAGCAGCATCACCCAATAACTTGTTAGAAATGCAAATGTCTAGGTTCCACCCCAACTATAGGGCTTCTTGAAGGTCAGGCACAGTTCCTAATTTTCATTCCTCTGGCTCAAGTCCTCATTTTGAAAGGAAGGGGGTAACTTCGATGGGTTTTCTTTGGCAGTGAGCAAACTCAGTCTCCCTAGTTCTTAAGTCCCCATCCACTTCCCCAGTTCTGTTGCTCTTCATGTGTCTTTTCCTGACCCTACACTTGCAGGAGTAAGGATGGCTTTTCGCATCTCTGAAATGGACTCCGACCTCGAAAATATTGACAAGCAGGTGTCAAATCCAAACCTGCAAAGTAAAAAAGCAAAGAGAAAACGAAGTTTTGTAGCACCCATAGAAAATGTAGAAGATACACAAGTCCTTTTGTTCAAAAGCAAAACCAAAGCCCAGGAGAGGACAAGAAAACGACAGCAACCTAGAAAACTAGAGCCTCTGGTAAGTTCAAGATCCAGCATCTTAGCCACTTTGGGCTACAGAGGAAGTTGCAAAATTGTTCTGGGAGGGGATGGAATATTTCTAGACATTTACCAGAGAAGAAAAGAAAATCTGAAAGTTAAGACTTGTTTGTGAAGTTGTAAACACAATTACTGATTTTAAAATATTGAATTCTAAACAGTTTGAAGTGGGAGGAATATGGTGGTGAACCAAATTTTCTAGTAGATAAATCTTCTCTAGGATTATGAACAATATGATACTTAACTATGTAGATTTAAGGCTCTTTGGGATATTAGGCTACCATTTAATACTGGGAACTTTAGTAAGAAATATATATATATATATATACAGGCATACCTCAGAGATATTGTTGGTTCAGTTCTAGACCACTGCTATAAACTGAATATTGCAATAAAGTGAGTCACACAAATTTTTTACTTTCCCAGTGTGTATAAAAGTTATGTTTACACTATACTATTGTCTATTAAATGTGCAATAACATTATGTCTAATATACAATGTACAGAACTTTATTTAAAAAATACTTTGGGTTGAGTGTTGACCTGTGAATCAGAAAGTCATGGTTCAATTCCTGGTGGGGGCACATGCCCAAGTTGTGGGCCCCATCCCCATTGTGTGGTGAGCAGGAGGCAGCTGATCAATGATTCTCTCTCATCATTGATGTCTCTCTCTCTCTCTCTCTCTCTCTCTCTCTCTCTCTCTCTCCCCCTTCCTCTCTGAAATCAACCAAAATATATTAAAAAATACTTCGTTGCTAAAAAATGCTAGCCATCATTTGAGCCTATTGGAAAAATAGCACCAATAGACTTGCTCAATACAGGGTTGCTACGAAACTTTAATACCTAGAAAAGGCATTACTTGCAAATTACAACAAAACAAAGTGCAATAAAACGAGATATGCCTGTAGTAATATAGTTTCATTATTGTTAAAGTAAATGCCTGGTGTCCTGAACAATTTTATGCATGTCTGAATATATTTAATTTTTAAGAACTCACTTATGCCTTTGGAAAATTATAAATCCATGTAAAGGAGCCGTGAAAGTGCATAAAATAAAAAGTGAAAATTCTCATCTCCATTCTCAGACATTAACTACTATTGTTGGTGGTTGCCCCTCAGGCTGCTTTATATGTTTATTCAAATGTGTGTGTGTGTGTGTGTGTGTGTAAACATTCGTAGTTTTAAAGTAAGATTATTCAGTACATACTGATCTTCAGAGGTTCTTTTCACTTATGTAGAAATCTTTCTCATCCATGCATTAGAGGTATCTTTTCTAACAGCTATGCTGTATTTGTTGCATGCTTGCACCGTAAGATGGTATCCATCAAGTGGTCTCCTATTGATGGGAATTCAGGTTACTTCCTTTTTGTTTTGTTGTTATTATTTTGCTATTTCAGACAATGTTGCATTGAATGGCCTTTTTTTATACATATAAAGATGGGTTCCTAGAAGTGGCATTTTAAAAATATTTTTATTGATTTGTAGAGAGAGAGAGGAAGAGGGAGAGAGAGAGAAATATCAATATGAGAGCAAAACATTAATTAGTTGCCTCCTGCATGTTCCCCACCAGGGATTGAACCCACAATCTGGGCCTGTGCTCTGATAGGGAATCAAGTCAGTAACCTTTCTGTGCACGGAATGACACGCAAGAAACTGAGCCACACCAGCCAGGCCAGAAGTGGCATTAAAATTTTTTTTAAAATTCTTTATTGTTTAAAGTATTATATAAGTCTTCTTTTTCTTCCATTGACCTCTCCCTGGCTGCCTCCACCCCCCAGCACATGCCCTTACCCCGCTACTATCTGTGTCCATTGGTTATGCTCATATGCATGCATACAAGTCCTTTGGTTGATTTCTTAACCCCTTCACCCTCCTCCTTCCCTCATAGGTTGGACAGTCTGTTCAGTGCTTCTATGACTCTGGTTCTATTTTTCTTCATCAGTTTATGTTGTTCATTATATTCCACAAGTGAGTGAGATCATGTGGTATTTATCTTTCTCTCACTGGCTTATTTCACTTAGCCTAATGCTCTCCGGTTCCATCCATGCTGTTGCAAATGGTAAGAATTCAGAAGTGGCATTTGTATAAGTCATAAAATTTGTACATTTTTAATTTTGAAAAATATTGCCCAATTGTACTCTAAGGTTTAACCAGTTTACCTTCCCACCTACAGTGTATGAGAGGGCCTGTTTACTCACATCGTTGCTGAACCTGATACTATCATTTTAAAAAATATTTGCTAGAGTGATATGTTAAAATAAATGGCTTCACATTGCTGTAATTTTCATCTTATTAGTAATGTATATTTTTATTTATTCATTTATTTTGTGGATTCTGTTCATAACCTTTGTCCACTTTAGATTTTTTACCTTTTCCTATCAGTTTTTGAGGTTTTAAAAAAATACATATTATGGATATTAAACCTTATTTCATTGTTTCTCAAAGCTGAGTACTGATTCTTTTTGAAGGAAAACATTCTTGAAGACCCATAGTGCTGATTTGTTATTTTAATTATAATGTTATTTTATGTAAAAAGATTAACTAGGTATTAATTCAAATTTTAATAAACAAAATAGCATCTTAAATACAAAGAAAACTACATAACCAATACAAGTAATAACTAACAAAAATGCAAATGAACAGATGCTATTGGATTGACACCAAACTTCCCTTTTGCAAGGTGGTTGTGGTACTGATTTCTGCTGCTCTTTCTTGGGGGGTTCACTGTGCCTGCACTACATGTTGTATGGAGTGTCAGGGCCTCTGTACTATTTTGCTTCCATGAAGTTAGTATTAAACCTTTCCATTTATTTATCTCTAACCTTCACTTGACAAAAGAGTATAACTAATCTTTGATGATCAAAGTTGTTCTTTTTGTCATCAGTGCAATAAATTCATGTATATAAAATGTTTATTACGCACCTCTGATGTGCCAGGCTCTGGGCCATGTGCTGGGGATACAGCAATGAACAAGGCAGACAGATCCTGTTGACACTGTAGTAATCCTAAACAAACAGACTGAACAGTTTCATCTAATGATGGGTGCTGTTAAGAAAATAATTCAGGAAATGTGGTGGAGACAAATGGCAGGCTGCTTTACATTGGGTGACTGCAAACGTCTCCCTGAGGAGATGTCATCTGAATAAATCCCAGATTATCGCTGCTGCAATTTTGATAGGGCTTGCATGGAATCTGAAGATTGCTTTGGTTAGTATGAATATCTAACCTAATAAAAGACAAACATGCAAATTGACCATACCTTCGCTATGCCTTAAGCCACACCCACCAGCCAATCAGAGCGACTATACGCAAATTAACCCAACCAAGATGGCGGCCGGCAGCCACGGAGCTGGAGCGAGCAGGAGGCTTGGTTGCTCCAGTGATCGAGGAAGCCAAGCTTCCTGCCCATCCTGGCTGGCTCTGAGCTCCACTGAAGGCAACAAAGTTTCAATTATAGAAGGTAAATAAATCTCAGAATAAAAAAGAAAAAGAAAAAAAGGAGAGGCTGGGAGCTTCTGTTGCCGGCACGCTTGGCCAGCCTGAAAACGGCCCTCAGCCCCAAGACTGGCCAGGCATCCCAGTGGGGACCCCCCACCGTAAAGGGGGTGTGGCCAGCCTGAAAATAGCCATCAGCCCCTCACCCAGGCTGGCCAAAACTCCATGGGGTGAGGGTCCCCACTGGGGGGGGGGGGCTTGACCAGCCTGCAAACAGCCATCAGCCCCTCACCCAGGCTGGCCAGGCACCCCAGTGGGGACCCCCACCATGAAGGGGGTGTGACCAGCCTGCAAACACCCATCAGCCCCTCACCCAGGCTGGCCAGGCACTCCAGCAGGACCCCCACCCTGATCCAGGACACCCTTCAGGGCAAACCAGCCAGCCCCCACCTGTGCACCAGGCCTCTATCCTATATAATAAAAGGGTAATATGCAAACTGACCCTAACAGCAGAACGACTGGGAATGACTGGTCATTATGACACACACTGACCACCAGGGAGGACACTCAATGCAGGAGCTGCCCCCTGGTGGTCAGTGCGCTCCCACAGGGGGAGCTCTGCTCAGCCACAAGCCAGGCTGATGGCTGCCAGTACAGCGGTGGTGGTGGGAGCCTCTCCCGCCTCCTCAGCAGAGCTAAGGATGTCTGACTGCAGCTTAGGCCTGCTCCCCGCTGGCAAGTGGACATCCCCTGAGGGCTCCCGGGCTGCCAGAGGGATGTCTGATTGCCAGCTTAGGCCCAATCCCCTGGGGAGCAGGCCTAAGCCAGCAGGTGGTCATCCCCTGAGGGGTCCCAGACTGCGAAAGGGCACAGGCCAGGCTTAGGGAACCACCCCCCCCCCCCGAGTGCACAAATTGTTGTGCACCGGGCCTCTAGTTTTAATGATATTAATCCTTCTAATATATGAACATGATATAACCTTCCATTTATTTGTGTCATCTTCAATTTCTGTTAGCAATGCCTTACAGTTTTCAGAGTCATCTCCTTGGTTAAATTTATTTCTAGGTATTTTATTTTGATACAACTATAAATGGAATTGCTTTCTTAATTTCTCTTTCTGCTAGTTCATTATCCTAATATATAAAAAGCAAGGGGCTGTCATGACCTAAACGACCATACCATACGGAAGACCAAACAGCAGGCTGCATGGAGCTACAAGGCCGGCAGGAGGGTTAATGAGAGACGACCAAATGACTGAACAGCAGGCTATGTGGGGTGACCAGGCTGGCAGGGAGGTTAATGAGGGATGACCAAACGACTGAACAGCAGGCTGCATGGGGTGACCAGGCTGGCAAGGGAGTCAGTTGGGGGCAACCAGGTTGGCAGGGGAGCAATAAGGGGCAACCAGGCCAGTGGGGGGGCAGTTAGGGATGACCAGGCCAGCAGAGGGGGGCAGTTGGGGGCAACCAGGCTGTCAGGAGGGGCAGTAAGGGGTGACCAGGTTGGCAGGGGGGTCAGTTAGGGGCAACCAGATCGGCGGTGGGGGG